CTGGTTGGCCATGATAAAGAGTTTGGATTTTATTCTAAGAGTGACTAGGATTTTATGCAGGCTAGAAATGACCTGTCTTACATTCTAACGACACACCTCCAACTGCCGTGGGAGAGGAGATGAGAGTAGAGCAACAGGGCTCCGATGGGTGGGTGGGAAGGGGCAGGTGGCAGTATTCCAGGGAAAGAAGATGGTGGCTTCCACCCAGGTGCTAGCTGCAGAGGTGATGAGAAAGGTCAGGCAAAGGAATCATTTTCAAAGCAGAGAATGAGTTTGCTGATAGTTTGGTTGTAGGGTGGGAGAAGAGGAAGTTTTTTGGTCTGAGTAACTAGATAAATGGTGGGATTATTTACTGAGATGGAGAACTCTGGGGGAGGAGAAGGTTTTTATGTTGGAGGTGGTAAAGAAAGAGTTCATTGCAAAATACTTTCTAATCATCCAATTTGAGATGTCAGGTGGGCAGTATGAGTCTGGGAACGGCCCAAGTTAAAGATAAAATTTTGTAAGTTTTCAGTAAATAGACTGTATTTTAAGCCATGGGATGGATGTGATCCCCTCAGGAATGATTTTGGAGGAGGAAAGAAGATTGAGCCCTGTCACTTCAATAGTTAGAACTTTGTACTTATGAATATCAAACAAAATGTTACTGTAAATTCAAAATGTAAAATAAATAGGAGACAGGGCTACTTTGCTTGAAGTTAGAGGACTCAGAGACCACCAGGCAAATTCTTCCCTGCACCTGCCCCAGCCCCAGAAATCCCCACAGGAGTCCATGTTAGGCTTACAGGCTCTGAAAAACAAATGTTGAAAAACACAGTCTCCTTTGTCCTTCCCAGCTCTGGTGGTCTGCCATTCCCTTCCTGGCTGCCAGCCACAGGGGTTTAGTCTACCCTGGCCAAGGTATCCAAGGGCTCAGGCTGAGTTCACGGTTCTGTTATGTAGATAAACAGATTTAGAGTTTCTTCTTGGTGAGATTCAATTAGAAAACCAGCAGATGGAACTATCGAATATCAGAGCTGGGAGTGAACCCAGAGATTCTCTCTTGCAATCTCTCCTATTTACTGACATGTGAATGATGGTGTACAGAAGAAAAAGGGACTTACTTAGGGTTACCCTGGGAGAAACCTGCAGGCCTTGCCCCTCCATTCCCTGATTCATAAGGTTGTATGACAAAGGTGATGAAAAACATAGACATTATTTTGCAAAAATGAAACTTGCACAGTCGGAGAGTTGATTTGGTTGCGATCAGTGAGCGCACGTTCATTAAGAATGTGAGATCCTCTGAGCATCTGTGCTAGAGAAACTTTTGGTTATTGGAAAGTTAACTCTCCTTTAATTGGGAATTCTTGGGCTGTGGTTCCTGGATAAGCCTGGGCTTCCTGGATTCCTAAGTTCAAGGAGACATGGGCTCCCTAGAAAATGTATGTGCACCTGTATGCATATGTATATGCGTGTGTATTTTTTTCCCCTGGGCAGAGTTCTCCAAAATTACTATTATTTATTCTTTCAGGGACCTATGATTACCCACCTTCAAAATGGGTAAAAAACAAAAAAATTAAACAAAAAAATTTTGAAAATCATCATAGAAAGCAAAATGAGTAACCGTTTTAGACAATGTACTATTTTAATCCTAATAATGTAGTTACCTATTTTTCACTAGGTGGTGGCCTTATACAGGTCACAGAAATAAGCTGTGTTTCTCAGAAAAACAAAAAATAACAAATAAAGGGAGTATAGTAGAGTATAAAGCGATGCCCATATCTTTTAATCACCAGGAAATCAGCAGAAAGTAATGAAACCTTTTGCAACACTCGCTGTACCAGACCTTGATATACCATTAGCTTTCTGCTGTAGTATCATTCATTAAACGTTTCTGCAAAACAAGTCTTAATATGAAGTCTTTGGCCTTTCCTTATTTGACTCATATTTTCCTGTGTTGTTTTCCTATTTAACATCTTTTTCATTCTCCTCGCGTAGGACCCCGTGGGCACTGACATCCCGCTCACCCATGCCTATTTCCTGTAATGGACAAACTTGATGCTAATGTGAGGTATGTTACCCTTCTGTGCACCTTGTGCTATAAATTATGGACATTTGTACTACGAGGGCTCTGAAAAATCTATTGTTGTAGAGTTACAAAGCTAATGGGTGTAGATTGTCTTTGATGTTTCATATATAATCATGAGTGGTGGTGCTGTTTGAGTATTAGTGTTTTATCATTTCTGTTTAAATGATGAATGTAATATGCTGTAAATGTTTCCAGCTGCCTGTGCTAAAAATCTGCATTGTGGAGATGCTGTTTGAATATAGGCATTCATCTCTGTAATAGGAGGAAAGAGGTAATTAAATGGGGGTAAACACAGTTTAAGAATATCTATCTGTTCATCTCAGCTTTAGGTATAAAGTCAGGTAGATTTTTATAGCAGGTTCTAGTTTGTCACTTCTTTGCACAGCCAGGTCAATAGACTATGTGACGGGATAAGTTGTATGGCGTAGTTACATAAAGCTCAATGATTCTAGTTTGGTTTTGTTTTTCCTGTAATTTACTGTAAACCTTAGAGATGAAATAATAGAATGACTCCTATGGAATGCTTTTCTTAAAGGGTTAAGAAAAAGTCCATTTTTACTTAAAAACAACCAAATAGTGACAATAGTGTAGAGAAAATTTTATTCCATAATGAACTGGCATTGAGGCTGATGATTAGCCCTAGGTATCAGTCACTGATCATAACAGAAAAATACATATCCAGTACAACCATAGGAGCTATTGTCTTTACACTTGATACCTGTAGGAGAGTATGTTTCAGGTATAGATCAGGGGCCATGTGCTTCTGTATTTGATATAGTGGAAAGCTATGACCACAGGAAGCTGTCAAATCTCTTGAGAGACACTCTAAGATGCAATATAACTTGAATTTTGAGATGTACTATCACCCAGCCAAGGGAATTAATTGAGGGTAGACTGTGTCTCACTACATCTCACATAATCCCTTAGTGGTGGGTTGATGGTTAGCTTGTTACTGCTTTACTATATACATATTTCAAATAGTGTTGTGTTCTAGTCCATCTAGTTATACAAAAAGATTGTATACTTCATCATAAAGCATTTTACCTCTTAAGCAAAAGCTTGTGGACTTTATTTTACCAGACACACTGACTTAGTGAAGAGTCTTAGGAACCAAACATAGATTTTTAGGCTGGTGCTGTGTGTTTAATTTTCTTCTAGAAGTTTGTGAAATTGTTTGCTCAGAGAAAGGACAGTGAGATGCAGAGAATCTCGATTTTATTGTTGTTAATTAAACGACCAGGGTGAACAATACTAATGGCAACACATTATGAAATTATTTTAAATTTCAGACACCATATCAAGCCAGATCGATTGGTTAAAATGCACTTTTTGGGGTAATAATTCAGATATTATGATCCCTAACATTTCTGCCTTTTAAACATTTATTTATAGCAGCATTAGATTCTAACAGCAGAATACAATTCAATTAGATGGACATTAGCCATTCTTGTGTGTGTCATGGAACAGTGTGGGATACGAGATGATATCATGCACCTGAGTCTCATCTCTGCACCATCCTCTCTGTCAGTTTTCTAACTGGATCCCATAAGCATATGTTTCTCCTCACACCTGTCCCAGTATTAATAACAGACAAATGTCACAGACTTCTCTCATTTCCTCTCAGTACAGCCTCTGAGTGTCCATAATAAAGGATCTTTTAGGCTCACGTTTACCAAATTGGGATCCATACATTGTTAGTACTACAGAAGGAATTTAGGTAGTATACCGATAACTTCTTTTCCTATTTATTTTATTTTTTAAATTATTTTTTATTAAATCATAACTTTGTACATTGATGCATTTATGGGGTTCAGGGTACTGCTTTGATACACAATGCTTTCACAAGAAGTAATACTGTTTTGCCACTTACAGTAGCAAAATAACATTTCCTTTTAAGATAAATTTATTTAAAATTTAAAAGTATATGTAAAGAAAAATATTATATATGTTTTCATATCCATTAAATGAATGTAAAGAAAATCACAAGGGTACTATGTAAACGATTAGGGTCTAGAAACCGGTGTAACTAGACATAGTTTATCATTTTTAGAGCAGGAATTGGAAATTCTTCTTTGTTAAGAGATGTCTCCACTTGGAAAAGTGCCTATGTAAGGAGAGAGATGAAGAGCCTGGGTCCCTGACCCAGGGGAGGAATCCTTGGACAACAGAGAAGATTCAGAGAAGGAGATTCTGAGCTCTCCTTGGGAAGGGCAAAACATCCAGTTGCAGGGTAGTTGTAAGGAATTTTGAGAACAGTTAGATTGCATGTCTTTTTTTTTTCCCCCCTTTCAAATGTGGTGGGTGTGCTGGTGTCTCTGAGGACCCGGTCCTTCAGGAAAAGTTTGTGGCATCGCTATGAATTGGGTGTTGAAAGTTTCCTATGTTGAATGTGTGAGATCATCATGAGCTATGATCTAGACTTGTATTATCCCCTTTAATTTTTAAAACAATCCTATGAGGCACATACTATTATTGTCCCCATTATACGATGTGTGGCAGCTAAGACACAAGGAGATTAAATAACCTGCTCAAGGTCATATAACAACACTGCCTCTTCTTATACGATAAATATTTCATGTCAGTGTGTGTGTGTGTTTATAAACTGGTGAGATGGCTGACATTCCTGTCTTGGTAAATGATGTTTTGAAGGGAGAGTAGAGGTATGAAAATGGACACTCAATAGGAACAGTTTGGCAGCAGATGATAAATGCCCTGGGGAAATTTTAGAAATCTGAGAGAAGGCTTCAGATTTTTCACAGGCTGTAGAATTAAGGGGTTCCAGTTATTTCCCCCCAGATATCAAGAGACAGAGAGGTCCTAATTGACATTTAGGGTTAAATAAAATGTCTTACATTTGTATATTTTGTCAGCTCCTATGAACCATTTTTGTTTGTTCCTCTTCATTTAACTGAGTTCGCTAATTCAGCTGAGTCCTTGCTGCTGTATGTCCGTCAGCATTCCTGGCTAAAAGAATCTGAAGCTAACTCCAGCTAACATAATTGAAGGTGATTTGGGGCAGCTAGAGTGGACAGGCCCACAGAATTAAGGTGAAAAAATGCGAGAGGACCAGATTTGGATATAAACCAGAACTTGGAGAATTCCAGGAGAGTTAGGAAGTGGAACAGTGGCTACCCACAGGGAGGAGTGCTCAGAGCGCTGCCTTTCTTTATTTACTTTGTATTAATTAAGCCTTAAGCTTTGTGTCAGAAAGAGTAAGACAAGTTCCTGTTCTTAAAAGTCTCATGGTCTAGCTAGAAGATAATCGCCCAAATAGAGTATTTAATACAATCATCAAAGAATCCTGATAGTGAGATCTACAATGATCTATGTTCTGTGAGAACTCTAGGGTGACACTAAAGAAAAGAAACATTAGGTCTTGATTTTAGAACGTAAGAAGCTTTGCAAACATTTTTCTCTTAAGTATCTACATTGCAGAGAAAGCTGTGGATGTAGGATGGATTGACTCATGAGGAAAGGCTAGCAGTGGACCAGGCCCTCGCTAGAGAAGCAAGTTCCTGGAGAGTCTTATCCTTTGGTAAATAGTGTCACACAGACAGCCATCAGCAGGCAGCTCTTCCCAGATAATCTGACACCTACCTCATTAGGATTTTTTTTTTCTTTTTTTGGTCTGTTTGCTCCTTTGGGGGGTTCCAAAGGAGACAGCTGCCCTCCTTCTGAAGGGTTGAAAAAAGAAAAATGGAAACAGTGGCTTTGGTGATTTTGCAATGGATGTCCTTTGTAGAATGTCATTAGCTTGCATTTTGGGGATGAGCCAGCTGGGGCCTTAGCCCGCACTAGCCCAAGTCTGTGAAGCCACTAAACTCTGCCTTAAAACACTTCCGGGCTGACTTGGGAGACAGCCACCCTTTTTGTTTTGTTTAACTACCAGCTTCTTCCCACTGACATGGGAAGGGTGATCCTAAAGCCAAGGGTGATCCCTAAAAGCCCAGGTTTCCATCCTTTTTTTTCTTGCAGTTTATTACAATTAAAAAGTTTCTGCTTTCTAAGAATTTTTTTTCTACCCATTTCTAATTTTAGAAAGTATAGGATTCAGGCAGGAGATGAATGGGTGGAGGCAAATTCTTGTATATGTACAGAAACTTGGACTTTGAAGTTTCTCAGGATAATGACCCCAGGCTTGGACCGGAGAAAAAGTTTATTTTCTATCCTGATTCTCTTTCGTTATAGTTTTCTTCTACCCTTGACTTATTTCCCTGCCCCGTGGGCTCTGTCTGCTGTTCTGCTTCTCTGTCCCTGGAGTCTCTCAGGGGCTTCCTCCTTCTTTAATAAAAACACCCTTGTTTAAGATTCTGTTTCTCCTCTACTAAAGAACCATTGTGCTTCCTTATTAATGTTTCTCATTAGTAAGCAAAAAGGCATCTTATAGGAATTATGAATCATATAAATGGTAGCATTTTTTTCCCTTTGCTAGGGTTTCTAGGAAACTGATAGCCGTATTTATAATCACCACTAGCAAGTGGGGAAGATGTCTGGGTCGGTACGATGGCTCTAACACGCCTTTGTTTTATTTTTCCAACTCCTTTTTGTCTCCTCATCTTGATTCTTTTACTTTCTTAACAATATATTATATTGATCATTTTTGTAAGCTACTTTAAGGAAGGAAAGAAAGAAATGGAGACAGGAAGTCAAGAAGAAATCAATTTCCAGGAAGAAATGAAATCTTTTTTTCTTCTTCCTTTGGGAGTACTTGATGCCTTCCACGAGAGAGGCATTAAATATTTTTGAACTGAAGATCAAAATGGAAAGCTTTTGCTCATAACACACAGAATCTGAATACATACCCAAAGGTGAAATACACAATCCGTGTGTAATACACAATCCGTGTGTAAAAGCAGTCACCTGATTTACACATATGACAATGTCGATTAAAAATGGTAACAAAGGTGAATAGTGGCTGGGTTCAAATTAATTACCCAGATGTCTTAATTAAGTCATGATACTAAGTTGCAATTTATTACTTC